AAAATGGTTGAGAAACGATTAGGTTGACCTTCACATGGTGTTTCTTGTTTAAACTGACAAACCTACATTTTTACCGACCGTTGCGCCACCTATTTATTGCACACTGTGAATTTGAATCTGTTTAATCTAAAATAAGAGTGCCCTTCAATATTGTAAACATAATAAATGAAAGATATTTGATAATATTTATATATTAAATGCATTCATAAATTAATAATTACTTTTATATCACGCTATAAAGTGATCGAGTTTTAAATATAACATTATATCTAGTGCAAAATGCAAAATATAATATAAAATAATTTGCTTTATAAACATCAAAATAAAATTGATTTTATTTTGTTCATATATTTCATATTAATGTAGGTTAGAATCGTGCTCAAAATAGCACAAACTATTACGTGTGAATTTTGACCAAGGTTAATTGAATTGTTGCGCAAATTAGTGGCAATTAATTAGTATTAACCATGTTGAACTATATCTAAATAATGAGGATCTGAATGTCTATTTGCTTGTTAATCATTAACCATTTAAGCTTTCATGACTTAATAAATTGTAAAAACTAAGATATACCTTGTATGTTGCACAAATACTAGTAAGGGTACTTTGATTAGCTTATTTGTACTATATAATGAGATAATCCTTCTATGATAAAATGATTAATCTCAAGTATTTTGTTTTTCAATCAAACGAATTCAATATAATAACATATAAATATATTTGAAATAATTAATTTATAAATAATACCTAATTAATTATAATTGAACACTAAATAATTAAATTCAAAAATGCTAATTTTAAACATACGTAGCATGCCTAATTTTATAATATAATTACATGAAAATTGTTTATTTATGATTATTTATAATTTAATAATTATTAATTATCAAAACTTATACAATTAATATTAAGCTAAAGATAATAATTATTTCTTTAAAAAACACATTTTTATGAAATACATTGTTTTGATTATATTTATCATTGATTTAAATGTCAATTAGACTAACTTTATACTTTATATGGTATATAAATGCATGTAAACCTTATATAAATAACTACATTTAACTGTATTTAATAATAATAAATTTTTATTATACATGTTATAATAATTGAAATCAAATTAAACATTAATAATGAATCAAATATTAAGTAAGTGTTAATAAAATAATAATTATTATAAATTAAAGTTTAAAAATCGTATAATTATAAAAATAAACTCATTTGTAAAAATTGTAAAAATTTATAAAATCCTTAACTATCATATTAAATTTTACAGATATAGCATGGGCAATTTTTATTTTAGGGACTATTCAATTGATTCGCGGTGAATGTCCCGATCCACGCGTATTAGTACCCTATGGTTGTAGGAGTTGTCAATATAATTACATTGTATGCGATGGAGATATTGATATAAATTTGACCGAAATGTTCAATAAATTAAGCTTAACATCAAAGCCGATACAAAAACATTTTCATCACTTTGTATTCAATAACACAAAAGTAAATGAAATAAATGCAAACACTTTTAGCGACATTACATTTGGCGAGATATTAATAAACAAGACAAACTTGGTACACATACACCCGGATGCATTTGCACATATGTACAACGTTACTAATAAATTGACAATCTATGAGAACAAACAATTGGAACTTGATCCAATGATTTTGATGATGGCAAAATTCACAAACGCCACCAACCTAGATGTTTGGGCAAATGACAAACTGACCATGGTACCTGTCGACGCATTTTCCGACCCCAATTCTAAACTAGATGCGATAACTTTGCTTACAAACGAGCTAACTATTGGCGGCCACGCGTTCAGAAGCCTATCCGCGTTAACATACCTTAACATTGGGTATAATATGAAGCATATTATGGCGAATGCGTTCGCTATCGACAAACACAGTAATGTTTCATTAGATCTACTACTCTATGATCTTGGTAAGACAACGATTGACGTTGGTGCTTTCACGGGCATTAATCGACCCACAAAAATGACCATATATTATGGTCAGTTTGTATATTTTGCGTATGATTTATTTCGTCCGTTTTTTGCCGAAAACGGCTTAAATACTATTGAAATTCATTATAACAATACGGGTCTCGATTGTCAAAACTGCCGGTCGTATTGGATCAAGCATGATAAGTTACTTAACAGGTTTAAAAATTTACAGTGCTCAGATGGCAAACCATTTGACCATGCCAGTCATTTTCAAAATTGTGACAATATTACCAGTATATTGAAACCTTATGGTTGTAAAGCTCATCAAAACGCTTACATTGTATGCGATGGCGATATTGATATGGATTTGGGAGAAATGTTTCGCAAACTTAGCGTTAATTTAGAGCCAAAACAAAAACATTTCGGTCTCTTTATATTCCGTAACACCAAAGCGAGTGAAATTAAGGCAAACACTTTTAACGATATCACATTTGGCGAGATTATTATAGCTCACACAAACTTGCTACATATCCACCCAGATGCATTTATGCTAACATACAACGTTACGAATAAATTGAAAATTGAATACAACCCTAAATTGGAACCTGATAGAATGTTTGAGGTGATGGCCAGATTCACCAACATCACCGAACTTACTGATTGGTCAAATGATAAACTGAGCATGGTACCTGGCGACGCGTTTACCAATGCTAATTTATTTAAACTAAACTCCATATCTATGAGCGCAATGAAATTAACCATTGGTGGCCACGCGTTCAGAAGTTTATCAGGGTTAAAATCCATTTTAATACAAACCTACATTTGGGATTCCAATACACTTCGTGTTATGGCCAATGGGTTCGCGATCGACAAACCCAGTAATGTTACGCTGGAAATCGGGTTATATAATGCCAATAAAACAACATTTGATGTTGGTGGTCTCAATGGTATTAATCGACCGGCAAAATTGAATATTGAACATGGTCAATTTATGTATTTTCCCTATGATATATTTTACCCGTTTTTCTCCCAAAATGGATTAAATGCTATTAAATTTGGTGTTAATAATATGGGTTTCGATTGTGAAGACTGTCGCTCGTATTGGCTCAAACAGAATGATTTATTTAAAAGGTTTGATAATTTACAATGCTCAGATGGCAAACCATTTGACGATCCAGGTCATTTTCAATATTGCGAAGATTTTAATACTACAAATTGAGATATACCTGAACTAGATATTCTTACTATTGTCTAAAATACTAAAACTTAAAATACATCCAGCTTTGCCTGTTTAATATATCTGTATGATTTATAATTTATGAAATGTTATAAAAAACTTTATAATTAAACTAAAAGCTTAATTTTAATAATTAATTATCTATAAAAAGTAATGTTAATTAAAAAATTTAAATAACAATCAAAATCAAAATTGCAATTTATTATTAATAAAATTAATTATTATTGTTTAAAAATATTCACTCCAAATGCCATCACATGTACTCTCGTATGGATTCTCGAGAATAAGTGACATATCGTTGGGATTCAAGTCTTTCACTCGAATCACAGATTTGTCCCAAAATTGTGGCCAAACTTCATGTGCTTTGCTATCAATTAATGTATAAAAATTAATTCAAATTTTAATTAAAAATATACTAGTCTTAAGAAATACCCATTTTTTGCAAAATTTGTCCACATTTTCATCACTTCTATACTGAAGTCATATTCAGTTTTGCTATAAAGTGAGGGATATCTTAAAGGTTGGCCAAACATGAGATTACTGTCCGCGGCGTGACATACGTGTCCGTCCGCACAGTTTCTCTGACGGGCCGTCAGTTGGGTTTGAAAATTAAAACGATAAAAATAGACCACTTTCTGGCCATTAGTGGCCAAACTCTTGGCGAAATGATATGTGGGACAAGTGTACTCCAAATCGCCATATAATGAACTTAATGCTCCTTTCAATTGGGATGAATTGGTTTTGTCAATATCTTTTAGGTAATGATCGCACATTTTGTCCACATCTATGTTATGGTATTCATCATTGAAATTGTTGACTGCTTTCCGGAACAGTTGTTCCGTGAGTTTTACATTCATTTCCGGTATTCGAAAATATGAGAGCGCATTGCCCTCGTCTTTGGTCACACCGGCCATCACTTCAATGCCTACCAAATATACAGTATATTAATAATAAACAAACTGTTCAGGGCATTAACAATATGAAAATGTTATACATTATTTTTTAAAATGTACCCAAATTAAATGATCTCGTATTAAATGCTTTTTTGGGCACAAATGGCAGAAAATGTGTGCCAAACACCGGGTGTTGCCATACGAGACGACTAACATTAGTCCATACAATAAAGAGATTTGGGTCCTTTATTGCACGCAAACAATCCAACCATGTGCATTTATTGCCAAATTCATTGCAATTTAAACGTCGGGCCAATTGTTTGGCTTTAATCAGGGCCTCAACAGCGCTCAGCGCCGGTCGATCTCTGTTGTACATAACGGATCCGCTTTGCATAATAGCCCTCTTAAACAGTCCCTTAGATAACGGGGAGAGTATGTGTGCGGACACCGACCAACTGCCGGAGCTGTAGCCAAATATAGTGATCTGATCCCTATCACCGCCGAAGAAGCGTATGTTTTCTCTAACCTATTAATGTTAGGCTATTATTAATTTAATTATAATTGGTTTAAAATTTGGCATTAAATGAATACCCATTTGAGTGCCAATAACTGGTCATAAAGACCCGCATTTCCGGGCGTTGTCTCATCGCCGCCGTATAGGAAGCCTAACGGCCCGACCCTATAGTTAGCCGACACAACCACCACACCATTGGTGGCCAACACTGAGCCGTTGTACAAGTCTTTAAATATTGACCCAAAAATAAATCCTCCGCCATATATGAAGAACATGACTGGTTTGAGACCCCCTTTCCCTTTACTGTCACTACTATTGGCCACATTTGGTGTCCATATATTCAATACCAGACAGTCTTCACTCATCGCTAAGCTATTGGACATAACCTTTAAATATTCAGGTATATGTAAGTTGTCTTGAATACAATGATTACCAAGTTTTGTGCCGTCTATTAAAATCTGTATGTATTAATAAATAACCAAAAAGTCAATCAATATATAAAATTTATAATAGTTTTTACTGAATACCTGTTTGGAAGCTTTAAGGGGTACGGGAGGGGCGAACCTGAGTGGGCCTAAAGGGGGCTCAGCGTAGGGTATACTCAAGAATTGATTTATTTTGCGATTTAACACATGGAGTGTCTGACCCCTCACTGAACCCGAACTCGTGTTCACATCAATACTATTGCAAACACAACACACTATTAAATACATTATTATTACTGATAAAATAAATTGGTTGTCAAATAGCATGATAAACAATAATAATTGTTTTAATTTTAACTAAATTGTTATTACTTAATGTTTTAAAGTTAAGTTTGAGGTTACTGTGAAATATGTTGTGAGTAAATATTATAAATTATTGATAGTAATAAAATAATTTTAATTAATTATTTGTAATAACTAATCTCAATTTGGAATTATTAAAATTTTTATTAATTAAATAGAGAGAGAGAGAGAGAGAGAGAGAGAGAGCGAGTGAGAGATCTGACATAAGGCAATCAATAATATTACAAAATTATTGTAAAACACTTCAGTTGCATTTTTTTATTCGCAATCTTAAAGTTTATCTTACAAACAAGGTTCACAGGCATTCGTGAGATAGTTGTATTTAATGTCTATGTGATAGTCGTTGTGGGCAATAGATAAATAAATTATTGATGAAATTAATTATTTATGCTTAAAATATTAACTCCAAACGCCATCACATGTACTCTCGTATGGATTTTTGAGAATAAGTAACATATCGTTGGGATTCAAGTCTTTCACTCGAATCACAGATTTGTCCCAAAACTGTGGCCAAACTTCATGTGCTTTGCTATCAATTAATGTATAAAATTAATTCAAATATTTCTTTATAATATACTAAAAAATACCCATTCTTTGCAAAATCGGTCCACATTTTCATCACATCTATACTAAAGTCATATTCAGTTTTGCTGTAAAGTGAGGGATATCTCAGGGGTTGGCCATAATAGAGATCAATGGCCGCGCCGTGACATACGTGTCCATCCGTACAGTTTCTCTGATGGGACGTCAATTGAGTTATAAAATTAAACCGATAAAAATACACATTTGTGGCCACACTCTGACCACTAGTGGCCAAACTCTTTGCGAAGTGATATGTGGGACATGTGAACTCCAAATCGCCATATAATACACTTAACGCTGCCTTCAATTGCGATGAATTGGTTGTGTGGACACCATTGAGATAATGATCGCACACTTTGTCCACATCTATGTTATGGTATTCGCGGCTCAAATCGCTGACCGCTTTGCGGAATAGTTGTTCCGTGAGTTTTACATTCATTTCGGGTATTCGTGAATATGACAGCGCATTGCCCTCGTCTTTGGTCGCGCCGGCCATTACTTCAATGCCTATCAAATATACAGTATATTAATAATAAACATACTTTTTAGGGCTTTAACAATATGAAAATGTTATACATTGTTTTTTTAAGATGCTCGAAAAACATTTGCTCGAAAGACATTTGATTGGAAATATTTTATTTCATTTTCTTTAAATACTATAAATTAGTAAATTTTACAACTAATATAATTGAATAAGAGTATATAAGTTAGTTTAGGTTAGTTTGGTTAAGTTAGGTTAGGTTTAACAAGTTAATTTTATAATTTAACTTAATTTTTTCGATCAAGTGTTTTCGAGCAAATGTCATAGACTTGTTTTTTAAAACGTACCCAAATTGAATGATTGCGTTTTAAATGCATTTTTGGGCACAAATGGCAAAAAATGTGTGCCAAACACCGGGTGTTGCCATCGGAGTTGACTAACATTAGTCCATACAATAAAGTGGTTCGTGTCCTGTACTGCACGCAAACAGTCCAACCATTTGTTGTCAAATTCACTGCAATTCAAACGTCGAGCCATTTGTTTGGCTGTTTTCAAGGCCTCAACAGTATTCAGCACTGGTTTGCCTCTGTTGTACATAACGGACCCGCTCTGCATAATAGCCCTCTTAAACAGTCCCTTAGATAACGGGGAGAGTATGTGTGCGGACACCGACCAACTGCCGGCGCTGTAACCAAATAGAGTGATCTGATCCCTATCACCGCCGAAGAGGTGTATGTTTTCTCTAACCTATCATTAATTTAATTATAATTTGTTAAAAATTTAACATTAAATGAATACCCATTTGAGTGCTAATAACTGGTCATAAAGACCCGCATTTCCCGGCGCTGTCTCATCGCCGCCGTATAGGAAGCCCAACGGCCCTAACCTATAGTTAGCCGACACAACCACCACATCATTGGTGGCCAACACTGAGCCGTTGTACATGTCTTTAAATATTGATCCAAAAATGAATCCTCCGCTATATATGGAGAACATGACTGGTTTGAGAACCCCTTTCCCTTCACTGTCACTACTATTGCCCACATTTGGTGTCCATATATTCAATACCAGACAGTCTTCACTCATCGCTATGTTATCCCACATATCCTTTAGGTGTTCAGGTATATGTAAGTTGTCTTGAATACAATGATTGCCAGGTTTTTTGCCGTCTATTAAAGTCTGTAAAAATTTAATTTATATATAAAATATGGTAGTTTTCAAAATATACCTGTTTGGGGGCTTTGAGGGGTACGGGAGGGGTGAACCTAAGGGGGCCTAAAGGGGGCTCAGCGTAGGGTATATTCAAGTACTGATGTATTTTGCGATTCAAGACATGGAGTGTCTGACCCCTCACTGAACCCGAACTCGTGTTCACATCAATACTATTCCCATCGCAAACACAACACACTATTAAATATGTTATTATTATTACTGATAAACTAAATTGGTTGTCGACTAGCATTATAAATAATGAGGGTTGTTATTATTTTAATTAAAGTGTGATTATTTAATGTTTCAAATTTAAATTAAAGTTATTGTGAAATATGTTGTAAGTATACTGTATATTATAAATTAGTAATGAAATAATTTTATGTGATTATTTTTTATAATTAAATTAAATTTAGTATTTTTTAATTTTTTTAAAAATTATATTGAGAGAGAGAGAGAGAGAGAGAGAGAGAGNCATTGTATTCAAGACAACTTACATATACCTGAACACCTAAAGGATATGTGGGATAACATAGCGATGAGTGAAGACTGTCTGGTATTGAGAGAGAGAGAGAGACTTATAAACAAAGTGCACAAGCTGTTAGCTTAATTATATTTATATAAAATATTGATTTTAATTATAAATGAAATATTGCCTTTAGATCTCATTATAAATTAATCAAACTTTAAATATTTACTTCATTTAAAATTAATAGTGTTTTTAATGAATGTAAATATATTCCAACACGCAACATGCATATAATTTAAAATAAATTACTAACAAAATAAGTATCATAGGTTGTATTAATGATAATAATTATATCATAGTAAATTCTCACGCAATAACGCACATGCACCATAATAGCAATATTATGGCATAAACCGGTCATAACATTATTAACACACAATTTCATAGACATTACGTAACTGTGTTTTAGAATCGTTCTAATCGTGAGATCTAGATATAAATCAAATGTTTTTGAAGGGTTTCCATAACAACCGGAATCGCTGTTCAAAACACAAGAAATATCATTGTCGTCGTCGAGAGCGGGGGTCAGATAATAGAGGTTACACTCAGGTCACTGGTGATGACCGACAACTTGGTGTACGTGCGGCGAAAACCGGTAAACAGTGTCAAAAGCGGTGCCAATGGCTCAGTGCCGCCGACCTCTACGTTCGCAAAGTCAGCGGGTGTTGACCAACAGGCGAGTGGTGTGACGGCCACCGATGTGTTCGCCAACAATCGGTTCATTATATCGCACGGAAAGTGTCACTTCTGGAAGAACTACGCCTACAGTGCAGAGGTATGTGATGTCGATGTCATTGTCAGTTGTGTTAGTGACATACCTGTGCCGCTAAACTAGTGTTAATGATTGTGATGATTGTCACTGGAAACTAATCTGCTGTGTTTGCTGTCACACCCGTTAGGGTCACCCGTATCTGAAAGTGTCGCACGACGTCCGCATTGAGGACATCGCGTACATAATGCACAGGCAGTGGCGGATGGAGTCGCCCCGTATCGTAGCGCTCATCATATCCAATGTGGCGCCCCTTCAGGACTGGACAAACGCCCGACAGATCGCCGCCTTCAAGAAGGGACTCATGAAGGTATCGATTATCTTAATTATGGCCATCAATAGTAATACATACTTGGCTTACAGGCGGCCAACTCGACCAATATGTGGATCTTCACCAATGGTGTCAATATGGGCGCCGCCCGTCTCATAGGCGACGCCGTCGAGCAGGCCATCAAAGAGTCCAAAGCCTACCGGTCCTCCTCGTCGGCGGCTAACACTACCGGACACATACCGGACGTTAATGTAGTCGGTATTATGCGCGAAGATCACCTCCGATACGGCGAAAACATTGATGGCGTAAGTGTTTTGTGTGCTGTTATCTGCTATTATATTCTTCCGGATGTGCTCTTAAGCATCTGTTTGTCTGTGTTTGTCGTGTCGTGTTGTGTAGGAAACGGTTAATCTCCAGAACGAGGGAAACCTAATGGACGAACAGAAGTACGAACTCAACGACAATCACTCACACTATCTGGTGGTGAGGGATAACACGGTGTCCAAGACTGGGATCAATCTGTTCGCGTTGCGTATCATACAGTACTTGTCCACAATTGGCGGTCGCGGCGAGTTCTCCATCGATCTGCTCGACCAATCAGGTCATTAATCAGCACACAATTTACCATTACATTCATTATCACTAATAGCTGATCCCAAAACACACTTACACTTACAGGCCGTACATCACCGGACGACTACGTGCCCACAATTGCCGACCTGTGCTCACTGACCAACACAGAGATACCGATCGTGTCAATCGTGATTCAGGGCGGCTACGACTGCGCCCGACTCGTGTTGGAGCACTTGAAACGCCAACAGCCGGTGGTTGTGTTGCGCGGGTCGGGAGGTTTGGCAGACCTGTTGGCGTTCGCCTATCTGGAGGCGCAGCAACGGTGCCGAGAGTTGGCCGACACGTTGGACGCCGAGTACGTCGAGTCCTTTTTGAAGCCAGAGCTGAGCAATAAGATTGTCAATCGGTTCCCGCGTCTGCGCGACAACACACTGGCGCGGAATATCTTCAGGGATCGTATACTGGAGTGCGTACGGCTGGCCAGACAGTGCGGCTGCGTATACCTGAGTGTACTAAACATGCATAACTCCGCGTGCAATCTGGACAACCTGTCCGAGTATCTGCTTCTGGCGCTGTTTCAGTCACGACACGGTCGCCATCAACAGCAGCCCTCCCTCTCCAACACCGATATCCTACTCACAGACCTATACCTGACGCTGGACTGGAACTGTCCGCACGTGGCGGCCACCGAAGTGATCGGTCGCGACCCGTCGTGCGTACTGAGGCTCGAGAAGGCCATGTTTGAACAGGCGCTCACCCGCGCCGACCGCGAAGAGTTTGTGGACCTATTCATGACCAATGGCTTCCGAGTGCACAAGTTTTTGACGCCCAAACGGCTTCGCAATCTCTTCAAACGCATCCATCGCCACGAATTCTTTCGCTCCGTGTGTTGGGAGGGAGTGTTGGGCCACTCGTACGACACCGATCTTAACAAAGAGTTTGTGGACATCGATCTCAATTGGCTGATCGAGTCGTGTACCGATTTGCGCCATTTTGTCCAATCGCAGACACTGGCCCTGAATGTGATGGGTATGTACGCGACGACCACCGCCGCGCCCGACCCGGCGGCAGACATGGCGTCGGCCGAGCGTAAGGCGCTGTTCATACTGACGATGTGGGCTGTGTTCGGCAATCGACAGAAGTTGGCCAAAGTTTTGTGGAAACACTGCGACCAACCGATTCATTTAGGTTTGTATTTCTCTCTCTCTCTCTCTTATTGTCTAACTATCACCGCATAACAGGTCTGATAGTGTCGATGATGTTGGAGCGGCTCTCGTGGTTCGTCGGCGAACAGAACCTGAAGACCGAACTCAAAGATCCGTCCAAACTGTTCGCCGACTACGCCATCGGCGCTCTAGACCTGTGCTTCTCTCGAGACGAGTCGCGAGCGAACGACGCGCTCAGCGAAGCGCCCGTCGAGTGGAACTGCAAGACAGCGGTCGACATCGCGGCCAACGCCCGTCTGCGCACGTTTCTCGCCCACCCGTGTTGTCAGAAGTGGTTGACCAACACATTCCTCGGCAACATTCGGCTCCGGGAGATGAGTTGGGGCTTCTTCTCGATGCCGCCGTCGGTGAAGATACTGTTGTCGGCGCTGTTGGTGTTCCCGATGTACGTGTGGGTCAGGTTCTGGCCGAAGACCGGCAAACAGACCGTACGCGACGACAAGACTGAAGACCAGGAGGACGAGAGGGACGCCATGGATGAGGAGCTGCATCTGATCAACGCTCAGGCGGCCGCCGGTGATGGCCAGAAACCCAGCGTAGGCTTTGTGGCCGCTCTCATACCGGTCCCGATGGGCGGCGCTCTCAAAGGGGCCGACGATTTGCTGAATAAAACTGGCGACGAGTTGGCCAAACAGGGCCGTCACTACCAGACAGTGATCAAACACCGCGAGCTACTGATCCGCAAACAGCCGCCGCTCTTCACAATGATCTACGACATGTGGAACGCGCCGATCACCAAGTTCTGGATGTTTAACTTGTTTTACATCATTTTCTTAGGTATGTCTTTGCGAACCATCTCTGGAACCGATTAGTGATATATTTATTGACAAATCTATTATCATTATCATTGACACAGTGTTGTTCAGTTTGGCGCTGGTGTGGCCCTCGTGCGGGAACTACTACCTGGACTCGACTGTGTGCGCGTGGACTGGTATGTGCACACATAGGTGGTGGTGGGAGTCACTCCTATTAATATAAGTTAATATTAATTACTAATTAATTAGCATTTATTAACAGTTCTGATACTTGTGGAGCACATCCGGCGCACATTCGTACTGTACCGCAAGTACACGTCGGTACCCATCGTATTCAAGTGCATGGAGATCGTGGCCATCATCGTATTCGTGGTGATCTACGCTTCCGGCCGGGTGTTTGACCGCCGCATATTCGGTTACTACACCATGAAAGTGATGCTATCGTTCGCACTCATCTACTTTTACTACCGCCTGTTTGACGTACACCTGCCCATCAGTCCAACGCTCGGCCCCCTACTGTATCGGCTCAAACTGATGATCACGGTCGATTTTGTGAATTTTATGCGTATGTCAGCGCTGGTGATTTGTAGCTCAGGAGTGGTCATACAGGCCGTGCTCTTTCCCGACGAGCAGCTCAACCTTAAGATGTTTCGCAAGTTGTTTCATCGAGCGTTTTTCACCTTGTTCAACACCCCTACCGACGAGATAAAAGGTTTATGCGCCATTTTTGGGTTTTTATAAAATACACTTTCGGGTTTAAAATGCTCATAAAATAAGGCTTTATTTAATTACTGTGTGTTTATAAACATCGAACCCTTGTATTAAAAAAAGCTATTTACATCACGATCATTTAGAAATCAATAAATAATTGCTTACCCATCAACGGTGATATCGGCGGTCCGTATCCAAGACAGTCGATCGATGGTAATGCCCGCGGGATTGACGCACCGGGCGTTCCACTGGAGGATCGGTAGCTTAGAGATCACATCCTCCACCTGCAGCTCCTGCAGCAACAGTATGTCTTCGTCGACCATCGCCTGCCGGGCGGCCGGAAAGTCCATTTTAGGCATCGAATAGGCGACCGGGTCGTAGTCGATCCACATCACCTCCCAGGCCACGTACTTGTCAGGTATGGGCACCCGTTGGACGCGAGTGCCCACGTATGGCGAGTGTCGGGCCAGAAAGTGGACTAGTGTTTGGCCGCCGCCACCGCCCGACCCGCTGTCCTCCATATCCAGACCCCAGTGTTTGGTCGCCAAGTGTTTAATGCTCTCCAAATAGACGTGCGATTGATTCATAAGTCTCTCCAATTCAGTTACCTTTCCCTGCGTTCAGACAATACACCGGTTAGAGAGAGAGAGAGAGAGAGAGAGAGAGAGAGAGAGAGAGAGAGAGAGAGAGAGAGAGAGAGAGAGAGAGAGAGAGAGAGAGAGAGAGAGAGAGA